TGCCCGATATCCAACAGACCATTCACATTTCCATGGTATGGAGATAGGTTTCGGTCCCTGTTGTTGTTGCCCAGCATTCAGTGCCATACAGTGCAACAGGGCGGATGGTTGCTTTGTAAATCTCCGATTTAAGACCGGTTGGCATTCGTCTGTCACATTACACACCCGTGAGTTCTCGCCAATGCATCCAGGCTGCATTCACCCTTGCTCGCTCCTTGCCATTGATGTCTGTTACTATAGCTATTACAATAAAAGTAGTCTTCACCTATATGGCATTGGTTCGTAAAGGCTGATACAAATATAATAAGATTCTAGAGCGGTCTTCCCTCAACTGATGTTCAAGGTAGGCTGGACTTCAGCTCCTTGAAAACCCACTTAGCATGACCAAAGTCATTCTTTTGACTATGCTGGTTAGGAATTCTGGGAGTTGAGGTCCAATGCAACTTGGTCTAAACATATTACCCACTTCTAATCCAACTATTTCCTTGGACAGTGAAGGTTGACTAACAAATGAGGACTGGAGCGCATAACACCAGGCAGGTCACTGGAAAAAAAAAAAATCACAAAACTACACCTCAGTAATTTTGGCCATGTCATGCAGGGGGGTTCACTGGAGAAAGCAATTTTGTTTGGAAAGAGTTAGCGGTAAAGGGAAACCAGGCCGTCAAAGAACATGGTGGCTGGATACCATCAAAGCTGACACCAAAGCATGGGACAACTCAGTGAAGTAATGCAAGATGGGAAGATATGGAGATACTTAGCCCATAGAATCGCCAAGAGTAAGACATAACTGAATGGCCATCATCATCATCATCATCATCATCAAGCTATCTGATAACAGTTCTGGAAACATTCTAATGTAATAGCATGCCGAAAACATCACCCCACCTTGACACAGATTGCCACAGCCTCATCGGTCCACCAAAGGGAAGTTTCAATGTTTTTATTCAAAGCAGCTTCTCACAATGTATAAATACTGCATATTAACACACATGAAAAATACAACTTCTAAGGCACCCAGAAAAATGTGTTCATACACTAGTTTACAGGACCATGGACAAATAATTTGTGTACAATTTGATCTACACAGTCACGATATCAGATATATCAGAAGATATGCATCCCTCGGTACTGAACTAATTTCTGAAATATTTACAACACTGTGGTTAAGGGGTGCCCCATACCCTCATATTGGTCATACTGTGCAGTCTTCACAAATATTGGAAACATGACATTTAGACAACAAAATAACTTATGGGCTGTATCTGAAAAAATCTATACTTTAATTCTTTTCTCTCTTTTTTTTTGGTTACCTGCTTTATCTTTATTTAGTTTGGTAATAAGCCTTACCAATAGATACCTCCTTACTTATATCTATTTTTCATTTTCCTCTTTTTTTTTTCTTCAGCAGATACACTTACTCTGGCTACCTTGCCCCTTTTCCTTTCCCTAAAATGAATTAAAGATGATACAAAAATGCAAGTTGAAGGGGACGTGACAACCAAAGGCATGACTGGAAAAATGGAATTCTTTGGTCCTTACTATTTTTAATGGAAGCTTGATATTTACATGCAATATATATTATTGTCTAGAAGCCAAAATCCTGTTTGAAAATGCGAGTGGAATCACATGAAGGATTTTCCTTGTGTATACCTGAAGTAGTGACAAAGATATTAAGAACGGCTTCAAAACATACTGCTAATAGGGTAAATAGAGATACATCCATCCACGTTATGAATCATTTCAATGCATAATTCAGATTGTCTCTACATCTTTATGTAAACTTTAGGGTCTTCCAAACAGAGTTGGCTTCAACCACGTTTGACTTATACAGATTGAGCCACCCAAAGAACCTGAGTGTGATTAAGGTTGCTTAGATTAGAGTTGGTCAGATTAGACCCATGGGCTAGAGACTTCTATCCCTGACTACGGAACAAAGCCCATGCTAAAGAGCCTAGCTATGTCTGAAACGAACACACGTACATAAAACCAGAACAACCCGTATTCTCCATTTCACTAAAAAACATTATGGCCCTGCATTCTACCTTTGTCAACTGTTGGAATGCAGCTGTTGGAGGCCAGGGGTTTTCTTTAAAAGTTCATCCAAAGAATGGGGGTGAAATCCATTGAACATAGTTTCCTTCCCTGAAACCACCACTCTTCAAGCCTTCTACAGGTTGGTCAGAACTTGAAGTGCGGAGAAATTATGCCTGGAAAGAGTTTTGGGGTTGGGAAAGTTTCAATAGGAATTGTCCCCATTTGCTCCACGTTTGCAAGGCAGGATCAAATGTCCCAACGCCACCGTCTGCAACCCTGTGTCCTCCAGATATGTTGCGCCTACAACTCCTGGAATATGCAGATTATTAAAAGATGCTATAGTCCTTGCTATTCTGCCACCCCAGAGAGTTGACTCTTCATTTTCCTTATGAATTTTCACAATCTTTGTTTCAAACTAGTGGTAAGGCTTATTCACAAATGCAGCAAATCTACAAATTCATTTATTTCAAGGCTGGAAAAAAGGAAGGGAGGAAACCAAAAAACCCGCCTGCATATATTACTAACAGTAAAACAGTGTGTTATTGTAAGTGAAAAAACAATTGGCATCAATCCCAGAATACTAGAGAATTAAAAGAAGAGTTAAATCATTGTGTAAAAAGATTGCCTAGAACGCTTACCCTAATCTACCACAGAAATATAAAAAGTTTATATATTTATATATATGTATATTTGAAAATATATACTGTATTAAAATCAGCAAGCTTATTCATTGAAACAGAAGGGCACCCAACTAACACACATTTTATATACAGCAATATATATATGTGTACGTATATACATACATACATACATACACACACACACACACTCATACATACATACATACGCACACATGCAAGACAAACAGAAAAAAATTAAATTGCTTACTTTTCCATATCTACAAATGCAAAAACTGGGGAATCTTTTAAAGATTTGTACAAAACCATTTACATGAAATCATATGACATATTTAACAGCAAATTTTGCATTTTATTAAATACTGTGGATATTAATCAAGATATTCAACCCAGTATATACAGCACACCTTATAGCTAAATACTCAAGTGATGCTGGAAAGATAAAACCAGATGAGGAAGCTTTTTTAAAAAATAATTACTGACCATAAAGTTGTTTAAAAAAACCCTGAAATTAGAATAATTATATGGTTGGTTGTTGTTTTTTCAAAAGTAAGATTTAGAATTTCATTTTTTAAAATGAAGGAATTATATTTGTCCTGTTTCAGCTACTGAAATGTAAAAATAAGAATATGTAGAAGAAGCTGTGAAAAAAAATTAACATTTCAAAATCAGATCTACTTGGAAATCCAGATGTTTTTGATCCCAAGAATTCTTCCCATTCAAAGGAAGTTTCAGTGTGGGAACATTTTCCTGCTAGTTCATTAAATTCATTCCTGGAAGAGGGACTGGACCACATTTTGAAAAATATTTGAATAAGTGAATGTGCTCCCAAATATATATATTTTCCCATGGTTTTCATTTGCTTGGTATAATACACCTCTAGGATTTTATCCCTGAGTCCAGAACAGCTGGACTCCAGGAGCAAAAGATTTATAAATTAGTTGAGATTCTTTGCCATCCATAGCAAAGAATAAAACAAACATTCTCTATTTCCCCCTCCCTGAAAACCCTGGTTTATAAGTTCAATGCATTCTGATAAGAACATGGTTTGAAGCCAGAGTGTGCACTGATTTGTAAGAACTTTACAGAGGTTTCCTGCCAAGAGGAATGTTTGCTAAATAAATGCATTTTTTTTAAAAAAAGGAAGTCATCTCCCATCTCCAGGAATTCAATATCACATCAACAGCATTGAGAAACTTGGTTGGGTAGTGAATCTACAAAATTGACAGAATCTACAAAACCAAGCTCAGAGAGCACCAAGGACTCCACAGTTCAACCCTGAGCTACAAATATTCTCTTCCCTTGAATTCAATACCCCATTTGGAAGCTCTAACACCTAATAAGAATTTAGAACTTAAACGGAAACCACGACAGACAAAAAAACCAAGAAGAACAAAATGAAAAACAACCAAAACTTTTAGAAATTCGTGGAAGTCAGAATTCATGAAATGGACTTAAGCCTAGAGATATTTAACACTCTGGTTCCGTTTTTTCCCCCTGCAATTTTTGTAGCTGGAAAATGAAAGGTCATCTCATAAAACAGCCCATTCATGTCAATGTTCTCCTTTTAATGCACCTTGATTGGGCCTTGTTGACTTAAAAAGAAAACAGTCCTTTCATTACTTCTCAAGGGATTTCACAGACAGTGTAAAGGTGTTAAATCGATGCAATTACAGACGAATCTTTGCAGTGCTTCCAGGAAGTATTGGGGCCAGATCCTAAGAGCGAAGGAGCATAGAATGAGCCAAAGGAAAGCTCTGCCTTTCTGCAATTTGTCTAATGGAAAGGAGAGTGCTGGACAATAAAAGGAATTCCAGAACATCTAATAGCAGCATTTCCAAAGGCATTTTTAAGAATTTTATACCACTTATCAGGGGGGTAGCTTCTTAAGTCAGCAGGAATTCTTCATTCTTTGTTGCTTCTCTAGGGTGATGCAATATGGTTATTACTTTTCGACTGATTAGAAAAAAATAGTAAACATTTCTTCTATTTTTTTTTAAAAAAAGAAGGTACACTCTGCCTTATTCCTCAAGTTCTCAAGAGGAGTTGTGTTACACTCAGTTTCAGCATTACACCGTTCTTCTTCAAGGACGATTCAAATACAGTGCCCATCTTGGAGGACAATTTCTGAATATGAATCACAGATGGAGTTATTATTTTTTTTAAATGCCACAACAGCCCATGGCATTATCTGATTCACTACCCTTTGTCTTTGCTGACATAGTACAATCTTTTTAAAGACAATCAGGGAGATTGTTCACATGTGCAAAACCTATCTGGTAGGTAAGTACAATGATAATTAATAAAGAGGCACACACACACACACACACATATACATATACATGCATACACATACACACTCACACTCCCCCCCCCCATATATTCATATCCATATCACAGAGACACACAAACATAAATAAATTAATTAAATAAATTGAACCAAAAGGGGAAAGCGATCCAATCCAGGTAGGATATTTTGAAAGTTCTTCTTCCTCGTTTTTTTGCAACATTATTATTTTTTTATCCATCAGCCATTATAAATGATATCCCCCACATACCACGTCTTCGATTGTTAATGGTGGAACAAACCAAAAATATGGACATCTTAAAGCGGGCCAGATAAACAGCTGAATTCTAAACAGAGTCATAAGGACTGATGCCATGACAAACTGCTTATAGCAAATGGGAATAAGTTAATTAATTAATAATAATAATAAAAAAAGAAGACCAAAGGAGTAAGATTTGTGGTGTGTCTAGCGCTTCTGGCACATGGAATGTATGTTTCTTTCCAGCCACATGGGTGTTCAAATGCAACTCTTGCCAAATGCAACTCTTTCTTTCCTTCCACAAAGAAAAATCAATCCTGCTAGGAAGAATTGTTGAACACAACAAGGAAACCGATGCAACCTCAGAGATGTTAGATACGCCTCCAGGAGGATTTGCTGGATCTTGGTTTTGGCTTTCATATGATTCTTCTCAAACCCAGAGACATCTGAAATCTCTTTGATCCCAGAACATTCTTTTTTTTTCCTTCAGCAATGTCAAACTTCATAGATCTTGTCTTGGAGATAGCTGAACAATGAATCTAGTCCTTTGGAAGAGCTCCAGAGCTGCTTTAACATCTGACATTCTTTCTCATTTACATCTTCAAGGCCAGATTTTAGAAAACTCCGAACCAGGCATTTCGATTCTTCTAAAACCTAAGAGAAACCAATTACATTCCCATTAACTTATTAATTATTAATTAATATGTTAATTCTGATAGGTGCATAGCCCTGTCATCCAAGCCACCCAAAGACGTTTGCTATGAGATGGGTGGCAAATAAATTCAATGAATGAATGAATGAATGAATGAATAAATAAATGTCTTCTAGAGAAAGAAGAGTTTAGAGTGAAGAGACCTGTTGGGCTCTCTTGGCTTCATTAGAGATCTTCTTTGGCCACCATCTTGATTTCTTTGATCTTCCCATGAACACTCCTTTCCTTTGAGATTCATTCATTCATTCATTCATTCATTCAATTTCTATAGTCATCCAATTTAACTAGGTGACTTTGGGCGGCTTTATATTACAGAGTAATAAAATAGTTCACAAAAATGAAGTGAAAAGTAGGAAATCTTGAGTTCATACAGTGCTCACTTTTTCTAGCCTTCCATAAATTACATATAGAAATGTAATTTATTTTTTTGTTGGAAGTATCACTCTTCATGCCTTGTAACTGTTTTATATTCTTCTTGTTTTTACTATTCCAATAGATGCTTTGTTTTTAGTTCTGCTGGATCTTAATTTAACAATTGAAAGCGGGTTTGTGTTATTATCATAGTAGAACAAAACCATCTAAATAACAATTTTTAAAAAGGTTTTGATAAGCAGGAAGCATTCATTCTTAACTTCACTGGCCATTTTTCTCTATTGCTTTTATGACTTTCTTTTTTTTTTAAATAAAGTTTTATTGAGTTTTAACAAAACAAATAAAACATCTTATTTGAGTACAGCATCGTTCCGGGTTATAACATTTCCACACAGACACAATTTCCTATGCATATTCATCTTATGTATTCAACTTCACATCTTATTACTCTTTTTCCAACTTCTCACTACTTCTCCCTTTACTTCTCTTAATTTTCTTTTATGGTTATCTCATTTCCTTCTTATTCAATTGTATTTCTTTTACCTAAATTTCTATATCTTTTTATTCATTGTACTTATACTTTCATCTGTCTTGTTTACAATTTCATATGTTCTCTTCCAACATTCTTAAGAAGCAAAATTCCCCCTATGATTGCCAATCGAAGGGCAACACCTTTAAATCTTATTGTTATTATATGAAATCTCAATAAACATTGAATTTGTGCATTCTAAAATTATAACATTCAAATTTCTAATATCTATTTTATATCATGTAGATCTCATCATTCAGACTCTGCTTGGTACTTCCCCTTGAAAATGTAAAAAGAAAAATTCTAAAAACACAGCAGAAACAATATATATATATGTGTTTTCTTAAGTTTTCGTGGGTACTTACATGTATGGCATTCAGCTTTGTTCAGGTATTTTCCCACGTCATTGTAGTTGTGCTTTTAAAGTTGTAGAAACGTTTCGGCAGAATCTCATCTGCCATCATCAGGCTTCTGTATTGTGTTCGTATGTGAGTCAGACTTTTACGGCCGTTTCAGTTTTAAATTTGGGGCTAACCTACTGCTGTGCCAGAAGTCTGATGATGGCAGATGAGATTCTGCTGAAACGTTGCTACAACTTTAAAAGCACAACTATAATGACATGGGAAAATACCAGAACAAAGCTGAATACCATACGTGTAAGTACCCACAAAAACTTAAGAAAACACACACACATACACACACACACACACACACATATATATGCACATACATACATACATACATACATACATACATAAGTAAACAAAATAGTTATTCAAAATCATTGTAGTACTGGTATGAACCTTGTAAATCTTTCATGTTTCTTTTCAATATTTATCAATCTTTAGAAACAATTGCAATGTATCCCTCTCTTCTTTATTATTGCATTAATTATAAATAAACATACCATTACATAACAGTACAGTTTTATCTCATAGATTATTTACTTATTTCATTTCTAACTCATTACAGTATTCTACTGTCACAACACTATCTTTTGTACCTTTGCAGAATCCTCACTTTTAACTTAATTTAACCATTGTCTCTGTATTTTCTAGCTAACCTTTAATCCTAGTACGTTTTCCCCTTTTCTCTATTTCCTGTTTTTGTTCCTCATGAGTTCTTTCCCTTTCTATCTTTCCCCCCTTTTTCTCATCCCTTTTTTATACCCTTCTCTCTCTAATTTTCCCTTCTGTAATTTTCTTTTCTGCTTCTCCTTGCTGTTATACTTCTTTTTCAGACTACTTTTCTTTTTGGCTGTTCCCTTTGATCTCAAACTTTCAACTCCTTTCCCCCCCTTTCCCCTTATCACCACAATTTGCATTATTTGATCATTGAAAATGACTTCGTCTTTGTCCCGCCCTTCTTCTTGCTCTTGAAGCTTTTCCTTTTGCTTTTCATAGTTCAAGATCTCCATTTCAAAAAATTCAAATATGAAGCCAAAGGATCTTCTTCCCCTTTCTGCATCTTCTTTCTGTTTTTTAAGATTCATCTTCAGTTCCTCCAGGAGTGATGGCATTTTAAACACTTTTGAACAACCACCCGATTGACTTTAAGTAAAAACAGAAAAAGACAGAAAAAAATCAATGCCAAAAACTTTTTTTTTAAATCACCAAATGATCCCAGACTGTTCCTTCTTGTTTCTTTCCTTTACTTTTCCTTTCCGTGGGTTACTAATAAGATTTCAGTTACAATGTAACCTCGGGAGTCTTTTCAAAGTTTCACTGTTAATCCTCTTTATTTTTCCAGGTGGCACTCCATTTTTCCATTATTCCAAGTCCCACCCTTTTGCCTCCACTCTTCTCCTTTTTAGGGCTTTAAAATGACCAAGAAAAAATCTTTATTCTCCTTTTGACACTTAGATTTCAGCTTAAGGTTGCCTATTAGTGTCAAAATAGATTAACATAAATTTCTTTCCGTACCATTTGTAATTGTCAATATAAAGGTAAAAAAGGGGTTTTTAACCTCCTTTTCTCTCTCCTTCACCGCTTAAAGATCTTCTTTCAGAAGTATTCCTCTAGGTACTTTTAGATTCAGGGTACCTTGCTTAGATGTTCTCTGTTGTTTAGCCCGGTCTGTCCTGCTTTCCTCTTTGTCTTCCTCCTGCACAATCTTATCCAGTCGGGTTCTTCTTTGAGGTGGCCATTTCTGACCACCGCTTCAACCGTCTTCGGGGAAGGGAGTTTAGACCAGCCAAGGAGGAGAGATGCGGCTCCCCTCCACTCGGCTAACAATCTTTCCCCTCTTTACCTCCTCTACGGGGTGGCTTCAGCCCCGAATCCAAAGGATCGGGGCGCTCCAGTGGTGAGCGCAGATCGAAACCACGCATGATCACTGATTTCGGTCTGTCGCTGAAGAGACCCAAACCGGAAGTCGCTTTTATGACTTTCTTGATCTAGAGGACTTGAGTCCCGCATGTTATAAAAAAACCTAAGCTGAAATGAAGATGGAGGAGAGTACAGGATGTGTCCAGGGTTTTCATCAGATCAAGAGCCTTATTGGCTCATCCAAGACAGGCACACAATACTTTTGTAATATGTGCTTCTTTTGTCTCTTTTTCCCCCCTCCAAACATTTTGGAAGGAGATAGAATCTATATTACATTTAATTAAAAGTCCCCGGTGCTTTACTGCTGGTCTTTCAAGCGAAAAGGGAAGCTATTCTGTATTTGCAGAGAGAATCAGGTTACAATCTTTCATACAAAGGGAGGGAGGGAAAAATATTTCTCTATCAGCTTACAAAGGTTCCTCTCCACTGAAAAGTCAGAACTTGCCTAATGTGTGAAAAAAATAATTTAAGGTTGAGCACACCAATACAGGAGTTTAATATTTTGCCTTGGACAACCTTTTTGAAGACAATCTTGGACAATTTTGGGGGCTGAGAAGACCATAGCAGTAAGCAATGGGGAAAAATATATATCATATTCTGGATAGGATCATGGTTTTCTGGTGTGCTTCTCCTTCTAGCTTTTTATATGAGAACTTCTAGAAATGTCCATTCATTTCCTTATTAAGAAGGTCACCTACATAAAAGTTATTGAAGGCTAACATTATAGCTGCCTGCATTTTTTTTATCTTAAACGTGTTTATTTATTCATGGAGCTAACTATGCCATAGATTTTCAGCAATTATGGTTGGAAGCATTCCAGGAGCTATCAAAAGGTCTAGGATCATCCACTCCCTTTCATGGAAAAATTGCCGGTAAACACCAGCAATTCTTAGTATATTTTGACCCCCAATCCAGTGTTTCTCAACCTTGACAACTTTAAGACATGTGGACTTCAGCTTCCAGAATTCCCCAGCCAACCATCAGCCATCAGTTTTGGGAGTTGAGGTCTACACATCTTAAAGCTGCCAAGGTTGAACAACACTGCCCTAATTTTTTCAGGACATTGTCTGTATAAAATAGACCCGTGATGGCGAACCTATGGCATGCATGCCAAAGGTGGCATGCAGAGCCATTTGTTCTGGCACTCGAACTGCAGGCAAACTTACCTCACTGCACATGTGCGTGCCTCACAACTGATTTTTGGTGGGTTTGAGGCCTTTTTCAGCCTCCCAAAGGCTTGAAGAAGGCTTCTGCAGGCTTTGCAGGCCAAAAACTAGCCCCGTGTCATCACTTCTAGTTTTTCCGAAAATACCGGAAGTGATGACACAGGGCTAGTTTTCGGCCTGCAAAGCCTGCAGAAGACTTCCTGAAGCCTTTGGGAGTCCAAAAAAGGCCTCAAACTCGCTGAAAATCAGCTGTGAGGCACAGTGCAGGTAAGGGTGGGTGGGTGGTTGGGTATTGCGCGTGCATGCATAGGGGGCATGGGGGAGTCGCATTGCCTTCTGGGTGCTGGCACGCAAGCGTGAGTGTGCAAGCGCACACACAATTTTTGGCACAGGAGCCCAAAAAGGTCAGCCACCACTGAAATAGACCTACAATTTCATCCCCATGTTTAAAGAGGCGAGGGATTTCTTGTGGAATGTTTCTTCTTGTGGTGTTGGTGTTCTTGTTTGCTTTGGAATATCTCTGGAATCCATTTTTGATTATCTCGTGGTTTTACACTAGTTGGGATGGAATTGGACGACCTGTGCATTTAATAAAAAAGTAAGTAAGAGGCAAGAGAGGGAGTCCCTTCTAAAGGAGTTTCTGAAAGAGATGGGGTGGGATAAAGTTGGCATCAAAGAATTACCCTGAGGTAAGATGGGTGGCCAACAAACAAAGACATTCTCCAAAGTTCTCCATAAAATCTCATATTCTTCTTACCACAGCACTGCAGGACGCCATTTCTTTTACCCTCAGCATCACTTCTTGCCCAAATGTGGTGGGCCAAAAGACTTGTGAGACGAGTCCTCTGCTGCAAGCCTCTTGCGCTGTCAGCTTCCTTCCACAAAACAACATCTCATTGGCCTGCAAGGATCAAATATATTAGAAGAGGACAACTTATTCTCCTCCTCCACAAAGAGCAAGCACAAAACACAAGGTGACAGTGCATACAGATTTGCACAAAACAGGTAGGGACCTATTTAGCGGTAGATGCAAAAGTAGGATAAATAGAAAATAGGGCTTCATGTGGCTAAGACACTGAGCTTGTCAATCAGAAAGGTTGGCAGCTCAGCGGTTCAAATCCCTAGTGCCTCATCATGGAGTGAGCACACATTACTTGTCCCAGCTTCTGCCAACCTAGCAGTTTGAAAGCACATAAAAAAGTAGAAAAATAGGGACCACTTTGGTGGGAAGAGAACATTGTTCCATGCGCCTTTGGCATTTAATCATGCTGGACACATGACCACGGAGACGTCTTCGGACAGCGCTGGCTTTTTGGCTTTGTAATGGAGATGAGCACTGCCCCCTAGAGTTGGAAATGACTAGCACATATGTGCAAGGGGAACCTTTACCTTACCACACTGGGAAAAAAATGAATCAAATGAAATACTCTGAAATCTCTTTTGTCTGTGGTCTAGTGGGAATTGTAGATGGGTTAACCAAAGATCTTTCTTTTCCATTCCTATTTGATTTTTAAACCTGATTTGGACTGGAGAGCTACTTAAAAATGGGAGCTTTAAATAGAAAATTGCCTCTTGATCACAAAAGAGGCTCAAGATGGCACATTTCAATAATTCTGTTTGCAAGCAACTCATTCAGCTGCTTTTCAATAGCAGACAACTTGCAGCCCCGAGTATTTGCTTTGCACATACAAATCAGAAACCTAGAGGGGAAAGAAACCAAATGACTGGAAGAGGTCTGCTACAAAGTGAAGAGAAGTTAATTTCTTTGTTAGTTAGTTCACCTTATTGTCATTGTACCTCATACAGTGAAATTAAATGCTGTCTTCAGTGTACATTATGACTATGAAAATAAAACACAAACACACATCCTTCATATTCTATACATTGAATTGAAAACCCCTGATATTGCATTAATATTGCACTATACAGTAGAATTCAATAGAGTTACTGCTCTGGGATAGAAGCTGTTTTTCAGCCTATTTGTCCTTGTTTTTATTATCCTGTACCATATGCCAGATGGTAATAGTTCAAAAAAAGGATGCCCAGGTGGATATTTAAGAATGTTTTGAACTTTCTTAAGGCAGCAGGAGCTATAAAGCTCTTCCAAAGAGGGGAGAGGACAACCAATGATCCTTTGGGCAATGACATTAACCCTCTGGAGCAGGGGTCTCCAACCTTGGCAATTTTAAGCCTGGAGGACTTCAACTCCCAGAATTCCGCAGCCAGCTGAGGAATTCTGGGAGTTGAAGTCCTCCAGGTTTAAAGTTGTCAAGGTTGGAGACCCCTGCTCTGGAGCACTGTCCTATCTGCCCCTGTGCAATTAGCAAACCATACACAGGTGCAATATTCATCCATTAGGTCAGGAAGGAAATGCCTGGAGTAGAAAACCACACGTAGGACAGCACCATGGGCATCAAGCTATTTAACTGAAGTGGAACCATGGAAATCTGAAACAAGGAAATCTTACCAGAGCCACACCCAATATCTGTGGAAATGTGTACGACGAACAGCCTGCAGGAGTGAGCCGAATGGTTGCGTAGGGTGTTTGGAACCAGGCCTTTTCACTTGCCCACACAATGTCGCAGAGTGGTAAAATTGACGCTCCCAAGCCAAGAGCAGGGCCATTGATGGCAACCACAATGGGCTTCTTAAACTGAATAAAGGCTTTCACAAAATCCCTGAAATGGAAGAGATGGACAGAAGTCACCATGAACGACAATTTTGTTTCATGAGAACTTTTGTCACTGCACCAGGCAGGACTCCCTGCAGTCAAACCCTGCGTATTTCTCCAAAGGCCAATCAATAACTCATCCCACTTTTTTCTCACTGTACATAGTAAGCAGAAAGATAATACTTCTGAGCGAGGCTGTGCCATCAAAACCATAATGCTCCACCTTGCCTTGGATCATTGTCTTAAAGATTAATTGGAGGGTTTTTTATTAGCCGTGGTTGATGCCTTTCAAAGTTCCATGGATGGCTTTACAATATGAACAACTGATATGCATGCACTACAGAAATGGTTGTCGCACTTACTTTGGCCATGTCATGCAAGGGAATTCACTGGGGAAAGCAATTATGTTTGGAAGAGTTAGCGGTTATAAGGAAATCAGGGCATCAACAAACACAGGGAGTGGATACCGTCAAAGTTGACACCAACCAGAGCGTACAAAAAATTCAAAGTAGTGCAAGATTGAAAGATGTAGTGAGACCTGGCCCACAAAATAGCTGAGTCGGACATGACTGAATGGATATCGATATCATCATCATCATCATCAAGAATGGTTCAGCTGTCTTATCCCTCCCTGAATATTAACAGTTTGATATTTTGAGTTTTAAGATGTTTTTTTCTTATTTCTTTCTCTCCCTTTCTCCTTATATGTTCCTTCCTATATCAAAATATTAGGGGACACGGTGGCTCAGTGGCTAAGGCGCTGAGCTTGTCAATCAGAAAGATTGACAGTTTGGCAGTTCGAATCCCCAGCACCACGTAACGGAGCGAGCTCCCATTACTTGTCCCAGCTTCTGCCAACCTAGCAGTTCGAAAGCATGTAGAAAAATAGGGACCCCCTTTGGTGGGAAGGTCACAGTGTTCCATGCACCTTTGACATTTAGTCATGCCTGCCACATGACCATGGAAACATCCTCGGACAGTGCTGGCTCTTCGGCTTTGTAACGGAGATGAGCACCGCCCCCTAGAGCCAGAAACGACTAGCACGTATGTGTGAAAGGAACCTTTACCTTTACCTTTATATCAAAATATTAATCTAAAAGCAAAGATGATGAGTGTGGCAGAATGAAGAGCAAGAGAGTAGAGTGGTTTTTTATAATCTCTCTCTGGACAAGGAGAAGACTTGAGATTTCCCATGAGCGCTCCACACAATCACTCCTCATGAGGAGATTGTAAAGCAATGGTCTCCAGTGATTTTAGAGCTCTGGGAGATGAGGGAATAGCCATTTTGTGGAAACCATGGTTGCTACCTTTGCAAGAACACCAAGTTTGTATACTTCCTTTTCTAATCATGTTTGGAAATCACTTGTTACCTGCTTTTCAGCTATAATGGACTTTTAGATCAACATATTTTACAGCACCGAGTTTCCCTTATTGCTTAGCAAAAGAACATACACTATTTTACAGGTTTTTTTTAATAAGACCTCCAAGTGTCCTCTCAACTCTGTTATTCTGTATTCTCTACAACTAGAGATAATTTTTGGCACAGTTCAAAACAGAACTTGGTCTGATGAGTTCAATGTTGGTTGCTGTCCAGCAGTTTTTCTTGTCCCAGGAGGACACATGGAAGATTCCAGGTTCAGATATTTACAATCGAAACCCTGGAATCTTCTGAATATATACAGCTTGTGCTGCAGCGCTGTATTATGCCTTCGCAAATGAAAATATATTGTTATTTGGTATAAACATAATTGACATAAACGAACCATGATTTTACATGGCTACAACTGGCGGAAGTGTGGCATGAGTCCAAATTGGATAGGACAATCCACAGTTTGCATCTGAAAATCTGTCCTTCATATTATGTAGATTGGCATTGGACATAATGTGAGATGTATGAGAAGAAGGCAATATTTTAACTTTGAGAGTCTATTTGCATATAAATGAAGTCATTTCCTTAAGAAGAAAAATCTTCAAACGTTGCCTTAAGAAGTCTGGCGAATAGAGCAGAAACATGATGGAATCAAACCATAGAAAAACGCTAACAAAATTCAAAAAGTGAGTTAAGAGAAAGATGGCTGTAGTTTTCTGCAAACTGTTCTCCAGATATATTGAATTAGAAATCTCGGAGCCCAAACCTATGTTGGCTTAGAATTTTAGCAATTCTTAATTTTCTTTTTACTCACTGCCTTCTAAATATATCAGACTACATTTGGAAAGCAACAATTCAGGGAAAACCTGAGGATGGATAGCCAAACCAGAGGTAGGAGAATTCAGACAATCTTCAACTAATCAATAAAGTACTAATTGCAGTGTTTGGAAGTCAGAGGGTTCAACTTTTTCTCTACTTCTCAGAGTTTCACCACTGTAAGTCCCAGTTTACACTGATTTTTCTAAAGAGAAATGGAAGAATTAACAGTGTCTGCCAGAAAGGAAGAGCCAATTTGATTCAGAAAAGAAAACTGATTATTTAAATGAGGTACCACTTAAAAAACAGATCAACCCAAAATGGTTTTTATCTATCTGCAAAAGGACATGAAATTGAGTAAACAGTAAAACAATTGGATTTGAATGGAGCTAGAGCACCTGATAATATCTCTGCAATTTTGTATAAAACTTTCCAAGATATTCTGACCAACCTGTAATCTAGACAATAAATCAAATTCAGGTACATGAAAAACTTCTTTTGACATGGAAAGAAACATATCTTTTTTATTTTTATTTTTTAAATAAAGAAGTATTCAACTTATCTGAATTTTGCAGACCTATCTCCTTACTTGAATGTGGACTACAAACTTTATATGGCAGTACTGCAAAGAGAAATAATATCAGGCGTATCATAAATGTTATTGATAAGACAAATCAAAAGAACAAAAAAAAAGGCTTTGATTTTCCTTTATGCTAAAAAAGCCTTTGACAATTTTGGAATAATGTTTCATATTTGCAGTTCTGAAGAAAATGGGTTACAGCTCTAATTTTTTGACATCAATACAGTGTATTTATAAAGGACAAAAAGTCAATAGTGAATGACCTCATCTTGGAGCAATGCACAATATACTGAAAAGGACAAGACAGTGTTCTCCCCTTTCTTTTTCTTAGAATATAAAATCACAGAGTTGAAAGGGAGGCTTGGAGATCTTCTAGTCCAACCCCCTGCTCAATCAGGCAATCCTATACCTTCATTCTTTCATTCATATAATCTTTGTTCTGATTAGAACTACAACTGCGGGCAATTTGAATACCTCAAATTGTGGAATGTAGAATTTCAAGAGTCAAATCAATTACTGAAGAACATAAGCTGTAATTATTTTTTCATGATATGCTCACAATTACTCAACCGAGAGAATCTTTAATATTGTTGGTGGCATCTAGAATTTGGTCTATTGAACTAACCAAGGGAAAAAAACCTCAAACTTTGGTATGGAATTGGTGAGGATGAAGAGCAACATGCCTATAGAACTTTAACAGTTTTGCTAATTTGTTTTTGACAAAGAAGACTTTTTTAAAAAGAAAAATTATTCATCAAATTGGAAAACTATATCAAGAGACACTTCTAGATAGAAAAAAGTTACATCTGTCTTAATTAAGGAGAATCCCAGCTGTCAATATGAATGTTCTACCAACACTAAACTTCCTTTTTCAAATGATTCTAGTATTCATGAAAGTAAAATATTAAATGTTTGGCACAGACAAGTAACAAATTATATGTGTTCCAACAAAAAGCCAAGGATTAAATTAAAAAATGTTCAGAGCTCAAGAGAACAAGATGGGATCACAGTTCCAAATCTTACAATGTCATATGCTCTAGATATGTTAGGCTACCTAGCATAAAACATAGAATACTAGGATTGGAAGGGACCTTAGAGGTCTTCCAGTCTAACCCCCTGCACAAGCAGAAGACCCTATGCCATTCCAGACAAATGGTTCTCTAGTCTCTTTTTAAAAAACTCCAGTGATGGACCATCCACAAGTTCTGGAACATGAATTTCAGAATGGAATATGGAAGAAGCAAGCCTTCTAGAGTGCCTGTGTAGATATATTTGGACTGGCATATGTTGTAATGAACAACCTATAAGTAATTATGCAATATTAAGTAGCCTACCAAATATAAGGGATAAGTACAGGTAAAGAATAGGTTCTTGTTGTGGTTAGCCGGCAGCAATGAGGAGGACGTTCCCGAAGAGCCTGTGCTAGGTGTGAGTGAGAGCAGGATGATTCATGGAACAGGTGACTCGGGAGTAAGAATGCTAATTAATGGCCCCTCCCTTCACGGAATATAAGCCTGATTTCAAACGGTTTTTGCCTTTGCAAAAGGCAAAAAACATTCTAAGGACTTAGTGTGGTGATTACAGACTCTGTTTTATTGGAAGATTTCTGCCAAGGTTTTTCTAATTGGACTAATTGGCTGCAAGCCATCTGTTATCTACAAAGAGGTTTATTTGTAGATTAAAGCTGTGAAAGTTTGAGTTGATCTGTGTTTGCTCTCGGGGAATTTGGCTGGGTCAGAACAGTTCCTTGTTATTTCTCTGTTTGGTTGCTTTGCTACTGAAAGTCTATTTTTATGACGATGATGATAGCACCGTCTTAGCCCATATTGCTTTGGGCAAAATAATAACTTATATTTTAGATCACAAAGACTTATTGATAATTGGATAAAGATAACATCTCTCAGATTTTGTACTATATTATTTCTTCTACCTTCAACTGAGTTACAAGACCAAAGACTATGCAGCTAAAGAATTACAGACAGGAAGAAGAATATTAAGAAGTTTGCATCAACCCAGCGAAGCATGCTGAGCAAATATATACATTACATCAAAATAATCTAAATATCAGATATTTCTTTCATTTGGCCTAACCAACCCAGTTCAAATGTTAAAATAAATAAAACCATATCCTTTGCCGTTGGCTGGATTTTTCTAACTGGAGGATTCCAAAACCCCAAATTCACCTTATAGCCTCAGCGATCCGGGTGCTTTCTTTCCTTCGGTCGCTGGATAACCTTCCAATCAGGTAAGAATAGTCCAAGCCGCTACAAAACACACTGCCTACGGCACTGAGTAACAGGAGCTTGCTATCATCAGCGGATGCATTGCAAAGAGCTCTTCGGACCTCCTTCATAATCTGTAGAGAAACAAACAACCGTCCAGTTCTTTGACATGAATCATGGAATATTTACTCTGGCTTTCTTGTGGCTTCGAATCGGACTCAGGATAACAGCATCTTTGCTTCCTTACTGGCTGTTTCTCAAACGTTTTCCAAATCTATATTTCATATCCGCTTTTGAGATGCCTCCAGAGTCTCAAGGCAACAAAGTTCAGCAACCCAGATGAGGAGGAATAGGAGCAGAGGTGTTATTCAGCAGGTTCTGACCAGTCCTGGAGAACCAGTAGCGGACATTTTGAGTAGTTCAGAGAACTGGCAAACACCACCTCTGACTGGATCCACCCCCATCTATTCTCTGCCTCCCATTGAGTCCCAGCTGATCAACTGGGTCTCCTTTTGTTGCCCTGCACAGGAGAATGGAGCTGGAAAGCAGGTTAGTGGGGTGAGGAGGGAAGGGGGATTTTGCAGTATATCCTTCCCCTGCCATTCCCACCAAGCCACACCCACAGAACCAGTACTATTTTTTTTTTTGAATCCCACCACTGAGGAGGAGGCCAAGGGAAGGACCCAAGAGTGCTTTGATCTTTGCTCAGCAGGACTGTGCAAAGGTTGGGAAGTGGTTTTCAGCAATATGCCCTTAGTCCATGGAATGGTACCGGGTTGCAACATGCCAGAAACTGGGACGTGCAAACAAGCGAAGCCCCATCCGTGGGAGGCAGGCAGCATGTGAAACCACAGCTCCTCCAGTCCACGATAAAAATGTCTCTCCCCAAAACCGGTCCCTAGTGCCCCAAAGGTTGGGGGCTGCTGCCTTAGCCCAAATGAAGAGCTTTAATTTCGAAGGTGTAAGCCTCAGGAGGGTGTTTGGAAAACTTTTTGTCTCTATAGGCATAGCTGCTTTGTTGATAGGAATACCCTTTTCAGAATAGAATAGAATAGCAATAGAATAGCAATAGAATAGCAATAGAATAGCAATAGAATAGCATAGAATCGCAATAGCAATAGCAAAAAATAGCAATAGAATAGCAATAGAATAGCAATAGCATAGAATAGCAATAGCAACAGGATAGAATAGCAATAGCAATAGCAATAGCAATAGCAATAGCAATAGAATAGAATAGAATAGAATAGAATAGAATAGAATAGAATAGAATAAGGGACGTGTATAAGTGCACAATCGTGCCCACCGTCCCTGTCCTATTGTCCCCAATTATTAGTTCCTATTTCTTGTATTTAAACTCGTGTTTATTCTTGTTTCTATTATATTGTAAGCTTTTGACCAATAAATACATAAAATAAAAATAAGAACAGCAGTAGAATAGAATAGCAATAGAATAGAACAGCAATAGAATAGAACAGCAATAGATTAGCAATAGCATAAAATAGCAACAGAATAGAATAGCAATAGCATAGAATAGCAATAGAATAGGATAGGATAGAATAGAATAGAATAGAATAGAACAGAATAAGGGACGTGTATAAGTGCACAATCGTGCCCACCGTCCCTGTCCTATTGTCGCCAATTATTAGTTCCTATTTCTTGTATTTAAACTTGTGCTTATTCTTGTTTCTATTATATTGTAAGCTTTTGACAAATAAATAAATAAAATAAAAATAAGAATAGCAATAGAATAGAATAGCAATAAAATAGCAATAGCAATAGAATAGCAATAGAATAAAATAAAACAGCAATAGCAATAGAATTAATAGAAATAGTATTCTTTATTGGGCAAGTGTGATAGGACAGTGCCTCTGAAACACTTCAGACTTAGGTCACCTATGGCTGTTTTGATAATGAGAGAAGCAATTACATGAAGTTTGCCATAAATATGACTCTCGCACACCGTATCCTTCATGCCTGCAAATACAGGTCGTCCTCGACTTATGACCACAACTGAGCCCCAAATTTCCCTTGCTAAGTGAAACACTTGCTAACTGAATTTTGCCCCATTGTATTGCCACAGTTGTTAAGCAAATCGCTGCAGTTCTTAAGCTAGTAACTCGGTTGTTAAGTGAAACCTGGATTCCCCATTGATTTTCTTGTCAGAAGGTCGCAAAAGAGGATCATGTGGCCCTAGGACACTTCAATCGTCATAAATAAGAGTCCAGCTGCCAAACATCACGTGATCTTGGGGATGCAGCAATGGTCGTAAGGGCAAGAAATGGCCGTAAGTCACTTTTTTCAGTGCCGTTGTAACTTTGAACGGTCACTAAATGAACTGTTGTAAGTCAAGGACTACCTGTATAGTGATTTACAGGAACTGCCTTATTTTACATAAGGTGAATGGCAGCTGGGCCTCAATATTATTCATCATTGATTGATGGTGCCTCTCTTCCAGCCAGAAACATCCTGCAGAAGCCACAGGGGTGTAATGTATAGCACATCATCATGCACATGATGTAATTTGTGTTAGAACATAGAAAGGAGAAACTTTCTGACAGTGAGAACCATCAACCAATGGAACAGCTTGCCCTCGGAAGTTGTGAGAACACCATCAGTTGAGATTTTCAAGAAGAGATTGGACTACCATTTGTCAGAAATGGTGTAGGGCAGTGGTCCCCAACCACTGGGCCCCGGACCGGTACCGGTCCATGGATCATTTTGTACCAGGCCGCCTATTTTGCTTGGGCGCCGCCATCTTGTTTCATCGGTTGGAAAGCGGCGTTTGGGTGCTGAAGGAATCCTCGCGCCTTAGTTTTGTCGAAGGGGGGGGGTCGGCTTCGAACGAAGAGCCGTCCCGATGGCGGTGGAGTCTCGCGTTACTCAGGAGGAGATTAAGAAACAGCCCGAAAAGCCCATTGACCACGAGAAGGTACAAAGGAGGAGTTGAAGGTGTTGGGGAGAAGCGGGGGATGGCTGGCTGGCCGGTCGCTCAGCTCGCCTTGCCTTGGTCGTGCATGCTGATGCCGGTACCAGTCCATGGGTCCGTGGATCATTTTGTACCGGGCCGTGGTACAAAAAAAGGTTGGGGGCCACTGGTGTAGGGTCTCCCGCTTGGGATGGGGGTTGGACTAGATGACCTACAAGGTCCCTTCCAACTCTGATTATCTGTATCTGTAGCTGAACCTCAGAGGACTTCTTGACCTCCTGCTCAGGACAGGATACTAACCCAGTCAAAGGGCTGGCCAGGCCTCCAAGCACTGGAGCCCTCACAACTCCCGAAGACAAGCTATTCCATTGATGAATTATTATTACTTAATGTTATGAAGCAATTGTTATGAATTATTCTCACTTTCGGGAAAATTCCCCTTTAGTTCTAGGTTGCATCTCTGTTTAACAAGTCTCCACCCATTACATCTTATCCTGTCCTCAGAGGCTTTGGGGAATACATTGTCCCCCCTCTTCTCAATCACACTCCTCAAGTACTGGAAGACAGTTATGAATTTACCTTTAGTTCTTCTCTTTGAGAAGGATTAGTAATTGTATAATATCCCCACAGACAGACATGCTTTCAACCAGTGTAAGTCTAATGTCAGGATTCCAGCGATTGCCCTAATTAAATCATGAGCCTCGGGCCAAACTTCAAAGAATTCATTCGGCGCAACATACCGGCATGACCTGTATGAAGCCAATTCTGACATACATAATTATAGTCACCTGTGACCCTGCTCCCCACCCCGGGTGTGCCACAAAATCAAAATCTCCAATTAAGCATGTACACGGGCGAGGTGTCATCCATCATGTTCTCCAATTAAAGTTTTTCGTGGGCAAAAGCTTCACTGCTTAGCTACAATCTTTTTAAAGGTAAAGTTGGAATGTGCTTCTAAGTTCATTTGCCATATGCTTCTCCAGTCCTTCCCCCCATCCCTTTCTTACGCCAACTTGGAAAGAAGTGTAGGAATGTTTTACAAGTTGACATCTAATTTGTAATTGTCCTAAGAGTTAACTTTTTCTCTGCCTCCCAGTTAATCTCTCCAATATTTATGTCCTTCAGATCAATTTCGCACCCTTGATAAAGAATGAAAGCTCAAAAAAATAAATAAATCCAAATTATAGGAAACCTCAAGAATTTGATACCTGGAGCTGAATCTAACTTCTACATATGAATGTGACATGAAAAAGGTAAAATAATAAGTAAACATTGAAAAAGTTGTGCATGTACTTCAAATCTGCAGCCCCCATTTCGGTCTTCCCTTCAAAATTAAAATCAGAAATGGAATTTGAGGGAGTTATTTCATTAGGGGATAAATTATCAACAGAGGGATGCTTTTACGGCTATTGATCACTTCCCACTGTTCTCTTCGATTGTGTGATGACCCAGGGTGGGATACAAAAGCAACAAAGTCACAAAAATAGGTGAAGTCCTTTTAATTCCTTCAACTTGGTCTCCAAGGTCCAATTATCATTGACTGGAGAAAAAACTCCCCCATGAACAGTTGTGAAAAGGAAGAAATTCTGTTCAAACTCAAAATACATATAAATTATAAATAGAAAAAACCACACAAACCACACTGAAGCAATTAATGAGACAAGACAGGATAAGGGCTTGAAGACGTTCACAGATATCGAAATATACATACTGGGAAGGATGCCAAAACTCAAATAAGAACAGACTAGAATTATTTTACGCTTTACTTCCAGCACCAGGCCATGTGCAGTTTGGCCTTTTAAACAGTCCTCCCAGCTGCAGCCCATGAAGGGGATCAAGGCCCTTTCCTCCCCCGTAGACCACGCCATTCACGTTTCTCCTTTATCTGCTCCTCCCTGTGTGCCCTAAAATGAAGAGGGGATGGGCCTGGGTCTTCCTCTGAATGCCCAGCCAGCCTGTGCCCTTCCCCAGTTTCCTCCACAACCTCCGAAGCCACACTCCCACTCCCTGTCAGTTGTTCCTCCTCTCCCTCGGAGTCAGATTTTAACAGGGGCATGACAGATTGGATGTTCACCTGCGTACCTCTGGAGTCAGTGCATTGTTATCTGAGGTCTGACTGGACAGGAGGATGTGTGTGAATCCATCTTCTTTGCGTACAACAATGTCTCTAAACCGACAGTTGCTTTCATTCTGACGCACGCTGTACCTGAGTCTCTTATCGAAGACGTAACCCTTTTCACTCTCCAGTTTCCGTTTCACAGTGGTATGAAGAGTCAGGCCTCCATTTGCAAGAGAGGAACCTTTCAAAACAAACGAACAAAGGGGAAGTAGAAACACAAATTAATGTCTCAGTTGAATCAACCAAAGTAGAGATAAACTTGCCCAAAGTCCAGGAGTGGGCTTCAAACATTTTAGCAAAGTGTTCTCTGCCCAGCTGCTAAGGTGGGCGTGGCCATGGTGGGCATGGCCTAATCGTCCTCCTGCACCATGGCTGGGGGGAGGGCGCTTTTACCTTTCCCAGGCTCTGGAGGCTTTCCTTGAGCCTCTGGGAGGGTGAAAATGGCCTCCTCAGGCTCCGGAAGCTCTCTAGAAACGGGATATGGGCCCATTTCTTGCCTTACTGAACTTCCGGGAGACCCATTTTTCACCGTCTCCGATCCTTCACACGTGCCCTGCACTTACCTGCATTCAAAATGGGCTGGGAGGGGCGGAGTAGGATGGGCGGGACCAGCCAGGGGTGGGATTTGGGGGTTCTCCAAACTGCACAGAATCTTAGCTAGGGGCTCTCCTGAACTCCTTCAAACACCCAGCAGCCCAACCCTGCCAATGTCTTTTTGGGGTTGATTCCCTATTCATCTCATCCCTCATCACCAATTCAGGATGGAAATAATTTATTGTCCTAAGTACCTGTACTAACTATAAATGCCCAGACAAGGAAATACTGGAGTGCATTAACAGCAGACATGTCACTGGAAGGCAAAATCACAAAACTGCCTCTCACTTGTTTTGGCCACATCATGCAAAGGAACTCACTGGAGAAAGCAATTATGCTTGGAAGAGTTAGCAGTAGAAATAAACCAGGCTGCCAAAGGACACCAGCCAGAGTGTAGAAAAACTCAAAAAAAGTACTGCAAGATCGGAAGACATAGAGAGACCTGGCTCATTCAGTAGAATTGCCAAGAGAATAGAATGGAATGGAATGGAATAGAATTCTTTATTGGCCAAGTGTGATTGGACACACAAGGAATTTGTCTTGGTGTAAATACTCTCAGTATACATAAAGAAAAGGTACATTCGTTAAGAATCAAGAATCATAATGTACAACACTTAATGATAGTCATAGGGTACAATCAACAATCAAATCATACTAGGAAACAGTCAATATAAATCGTAAGGACACAAGCAACAAAGTTACAGTCCTACAATCACAAGTGGGAGGGGATGGGTGATGAGAAGATTAACAGTAATAGTACACTTTGTAAATAGTTGAACAATGTGAGGGAATTATTTGTTTAGCAGAGCGATGGCTTTTGGGGGGAAGAAAAGAGCTGGACATGACTGAATGAATATCAACATCAAATATTTGGAAGGCATCAGGCTGAGGAAGTTCAACCTAAACAAGTTCTACCTTCTCTGAACATCTTCTGGCTTTGGCCCAAAGGTGCTTTTTCAAGAGGCAAGTGGACTTTCTGCTTTTTCTTTAAAGATGTTTCGCTTCTCATCCAAGAAGCTTCTTCAGCTCTGCTGATAAGAGAGCTGAAGAAGATTCTTGGATGAGAAGCGAAACGTCTTCAAAGAAAAACCAGAAAGTCCAGTTGTCTCTTGAAAAAGCACCTTTGGGACAACCATAACCTGGATGATTGAGAATCTCCATAAACTTCTGGCTTTCTGGCTTTTGATTCATTTGACTTTACTCCAACCAACAGAAATAGATTTCTTCACTAGTGCATGGGAGTCAACCCATGTTCTATCTATCAGTGGAAATATAGTCAGTGGAAATGATGCTGCTTCAGCCTTCGACAATCCCATCCATTGAAAATTATTTGGTTTGAAACATTGGCAGCCTCATATAAAGAAAATTTGTACAAAATGTTTCATCGTTGGCCTCTAACGCCAGTGAGATTGGCCAAAATCTACCCAAATTTAAAACCAGAATGTTGGAAATGCAAAACCCCTGGTACCTTCGTTCACATGAGGTGGACTTGCCCAAAAGCGAAGAAATTTTGGAATAAGTTAAAGATCTGATTAGAGGAAATGACAGGCTCAAAGATAGTACCCAAACCTGAAACATTTCTACTAGGGATAACTAAAGATGAATATACAAAGGATATTGAATGCTTAATACATATATTAACAGCGGTTAGAATACTATATGCTCAAAACTGGAAATTAGTCCCACAGATAATATGATCATAAAAAAAGTAATGGATTGTGCAGAGGGAAGAAAAAAAAATACTATACAATCTGGGAAAAATGGTATGTCTGGTTAGACAATAGAAAGTAAAGATAAAAGTGTAAAAGTAAAAGTATAAAAGTGTAATTGAAAATAGTGGATATATGTATGTATGTATGTATGTATGTATGTACAGGAAAATGGAATAATTGATGCCACAAATAACTGCAAAAAATGTATATAGAATTTGTTTTTAAAGGTGAAAATTCAATAAAATTTATATTAAAAGAAAAAAGACAATTATTTGGCTCTTCACTACACTAGATTTTTTTTGACTGTCTACTAGATGAACCAATGATGAGGTGCTGCTGTAAAATGTGAGGTTCCCACAATGAATGGGACTGATGGCTTGGGTTTTCTTTCCTTCCTGGGTATGTACTATCTTCAATTAATCAGGCCACTGTAATGATGGTATGTCTCCTGCTTCAAAATGCAGGCATGTGTGGATTAATTCTGGATCAGAAAACAGGAACATGTTAATTTCCCTTGATATTTTGATATCAAAGAGCAATTCACCCAAAATGCCACTTTTGATAAGTAAGGTTGATCATCTCCTTCTTTCTCATTTTGCGTTGCAGTGAGGAATTTACAGTCCCAATAAATAGAGATTGACCTAATAAATTAGGGCAATTGATAGTGGCCCCCAATGCAATCTTTATAGAAGTCTTGCTGAAAAAAGAGGAACATGAACTTGAGATTTATGGGTTTTAAGATTAGAAATGGTAGCTTGTGGAAGAACGGAAATGATGAGTTAGCTTCGCAGAATGAGGGCAAAATATAAATGTATTTATAACCACTGTCAAGAAGATCAGAAGCTGCTTCTTTATAGTCTTTATTTTCCTTTCCTTTTGTTTTCTGTTTCTATTTTCACTATTTACTATTGTTCTTTATAATCTTGATATATACATATCTATGTATCAGATAGTCGATATATTAAAAGCACTGGCCACTAAAGCCATTTTAGAGACTTCAGTTTGTTAAATAATCTACTAATCTGTTGGAAAGCAGGATTGTAAAGTATTCAAGAGCCAATCCAATTTTGTGGGTCTAACATTTGGTCTAAATATGGCTACTTCTCTGCATATTATTTTTTCTCTGAATTTTGTAAGGCAGCTAGTTTTAAAGAAATCCAAAGAATTACCAAAATATGTCTTGGGGGAGGGATACATTTTGAAATGTGTGTTTGAAACATTCTTAAAACTTAGTGTGAAATACATTTTAATCTAGGTCGAGCAAAATGCATTTAGAGAATATGCATTCAAATATGAACTCTTGTACAGATTTAAATAAAATTGTGTATGGAAGATTATGTCTAAGCCCTTTTGAATGCTTTTAAAGTAGAAAGTGTAAAATATTTTGATACAATCAATTTAATGAATAAATAAATTATGAATGAATAATTTGTCCATCCCTTATAAATGTCCAAACTGTTTTCAGTGATGGTTCATATTTTATGTTCTACAAGAGATTACTACAGTTAGCTATTAAGTTTTTTTTTCATTATAGCTTTATTTGATTATTATTTCATTGCTATTCTTTAATCATTTATATACTAGTTTCCTAATTTGTGATGTACATATTGATTTCTACAAACTGTACAAATTAGAATAGTTCTATCATAAAAGTCTGGCTAGAAATATATTAAGCAACACATATTTTAATGGATTTGTATTCACCTTGAGCTTAATTGTTTGTCACTAGATCTTATGAAATAGTTATCCTTGTCTGGACAGGGAGAACTTTGGTGGATTGGGCTCCTTAGAAGAGAGTCACTGGAGAGACAGACAGGGAAGTTGATAAAATTATTTCTAAACTGGACATCAACAACATTCCAAGAAAATTGCATTGGTGCATCATGACGTTTGATGAAGACTCAAACTCAACTGAAGGAGGCTTTATACATATTGAGCTGGAACAAATGAAGATGAATAGTCTACTGTAATTTCAGTTAGCATCAAATGTTATACCAGTGGGATCTTGATTTGAACTGGCTTCATCTTTGCTTAGTTAAAGACCAGATGGACTGCTAAGCAAATTCAAAGTAAATTAGTCTCTCTGGGAATAACCAAAGGTAATAGAAGTCTTTCACTTAACATAACTGGGATCTGACTACAGTCCTATGAGGCTGTTGAAAGAAAAAAGGTGTCAATAGAATTTGTGGATTGCACAATCCCAAAACACATTGACATCTCTAGAAGTATTACATTCCAGCAAGAAAGGGACTGGACCCATACTGAGAATAACCCACTGATTGCAACAAATAGAATTTGTTTCCATTTCAACAAACTTGATTTCAATGGGTCCATTTTAACTGTGCATCTAACTTAATACACTGGACTATTCCTCACCATTATCATGCTCATTACATTATTTTGAAGTTAGTTTAAACATCCAGTACCAGGGAGCTTTCATCTACTTGATTGTTATTATTATTATTATTATTATTATTATAGAATTCCTTCTATCTCTCCAAGCAGACTTTAATTAATTCTTCTCCTGAGTGAAATATGCAATACATTTAATGGAGTCCTATTTGAATAAGTTTATGGAGTGATTACAGATGGTGATTATTAATCATACAGAGGAATCTCTCCAATTAGTTTGTACGAGTCCATCTGAAGTTAGTAATGAAATTTTATTATCCTCTCCTTTCCCTTCCGCAAGTGTTAAGTGGAAGAACACTAATATGTGATTTATTGATGCATATAATGTCATTGATATAATCTACAAATTACAGTTGGGTACTATGAGTTATCTTGCACATGTGTTTGTCCAGCGTGTTTAGATTAGTTAAAGAAGCAGCCATTGTAGTCACATGCAAAAATGTCCAGCTTGGTTAGTTTTAAA